CACTGTTTATTGGCTTTGATTTTACATGTTTGGTTTAGCAATGTCACAGAATTACAAATTAGAAAAAAATGCAACAGAATAATATGAAAGAATCGGACTTCACTGGTATTATATAAATTTTCAGCATGGGATATTTTTACTGTTTTTCAACTTGAGGTGATCTAGTCTTCTGCTCGACATCTTTTACCTTCATAGGGCCAGCTATTGGCCTATTACCACTCTCTTCTGTTAATCATCAATCGTCATGACAATATATCTTTCTTGATGGCAATGTTTTGCTGCAGCAGTCCAGCACTACCGAGACAGGTTCTGATGCCACTTGCTTCAAACTAAGGGGGGATCTTCAGGCAGTGTTTAATGTCCTTCCAAAGGACGTGCAGCAGCTTATGCTAATGAACCCTGAGAGGGCAGCACTTGTACAAGGAAATCATGAAAGTACAGGATTCCTTGATAGAGCTGTACAAGATGGTGAACTTCCCTCTAATTCAACCAGATGACACGAGCTTATGAGACGGATAGAATCAGACAGCTGAATTGAGAGTTTTATGATGCCGCTAGAAGATGTAGAATGTCCTCTTCTCCACTGTAATTTCTTGCAGGAGCTGGACTTCTCAATGATTCTGCTGCTAGGTCAGTTAAGTCTTGCCTCAGATTTCCATTTTGCATTCACAGGATATATTGATTGCAACCATGATTTTATACCTTTCCTCCAGATAATTTTGGCAAAGAACCCTCGTCTGTTGAAGCTGTGCGGTGGACTGAGATTACATTCTTCTTCTGAATTGGTATTCGCATGTTTCCAAAGAATGATTGTTATAAGATGTTTCAGGATGAATAGATATCTGTTTTTTTAACTCACTACTGAAAGGGAAAAAATTATGAGCCTTTTCGCTGTAAAACTCCAGCTTTGTCTCCACATTTCAATTTAAATCTTTCTTAATGAAGTGCACCCTCTTTGGTTTTTGTTTCCCCTCAACTCCCAAGGATATCAGTTCATATAGTGCATGATTAGACCAGTCATGTTACAAGTGGAGTGCCAATGTTTGCATTTCGTTGAAACAATGGAAGAAGATCCTGTATATAAAAACCTCAAAGGGGGTTTTAACTTTTTTTTATTATAGAAAACTTGGCCAAGTCTTGCTACAATCACACTCTGTCCAAGATAGTCCATCTCCACTCCCCCCCCCCCCCC